TTAGACCACTGAGCCATCTCACCAGCCCATGAGCGCATGTCTTAATTTAGCTGCTTTTGTAATCATGCCTCTTAAAATATTTACACATGTTCTGGAGACTTCCTGTGTGACTAATAATAGGTGATTCTTCACAGTTTGTTGCCACTATTTTTATGTTTTTACTGTGATAAAAAAATAGCAAAACATAATCTTTCTGTCTTTCATGGGTGTAGTATACAGTTGTGTATATTAAATACAATCATATAGTTGTCAACTATCAACAATCACCACCACAACTTCATCCTGTAAAACTAAAATTTTAGTCTTATTAAGTAATAACTCCCCATTTCACCTTCTGTCTATATTCCCTTAGAAACTCCACTCTGTCTTTCTGTTTCTGTGATAGTGACTACTCTGGGTAGTTCTTACAAGTGGAATCTTACAGTATTTATCTTTTTTTCTTTCTTTTTTTTATTTAGTATAGGGTCTACAGGGTATACAGGGTCTCACTATGTAGATTGAACTTGTAGTGATCCTCTTGTTTTCAGTCTCCCAAGCACTGGGATTACAGGTGTGTGTCACCATGCCCAGTCTCAATCAGTGTCTCAGTGCACCCCGGGGGTGGGGCCAGCATAACATGCTGGGATCAAACTGTTCCCTGCATCTGCCTAAGCACGCACTTTAATCTGCTGAGCTATCAGGCCAACCCAGTATTTATCTTTTTGTGATATTTCATTTTCCATAATGTCCTCAAGGTTCATCCACATTGTATCATGTGCCAGGATTTCCTTCCTTTTTAAGGCTGAATCACATTCCATGCTGGGTGTGGACCACATGGAATGCCAGAGTCTGCATTTGACCACTGCACTGGGCAGCCTCCTGTGATGTGTGGAAAGTGTGTGCAAGGAAACTGAAGGCATGGTGGTCACTGATAAGGTGAAGATGCTATGAGTGGGAAATCCAAGATGATAGGCAGGTTTCTAGCTTGAGTACCAGGGTCAGGGTGGCGTTTCCTGAAGTAGAAGACAAAGGAGAAAGAGCATGTGTGGATATGCTGAATATGTGGCACTTATGAATAGAACAGTTGTGTACATTCCCAACAGGAGGGCGTTAAAACAGGGTGTGTGAGAGGAGGTGAGAGCTTCAAGGCCATCTCAGGACTCTTCCTACTGTGCATACAGCTCTTCAGAAAATAGTAAGCTACATCAGGAAAATAATGCGAAAGAGGAATTGAGAGACCAGAGCGGATGAGGACCATGCAGTGGAGGAATCCCCCTTGGAGCAAGGATGGGAAGACTCCAGCAGCGAACCACCTACGGGATGACACAAACTGATACCTACACTGGGAGAAATGGAGTCCGCCATGCTAGGCCATGGGTAGGCAGTGAAACATGGAGCTACAGAGAGAAAGCCAGAGGTTGGAAAAGAAAAATTCCCAGTAAGTGCAGGGACAGTTTCACTGCAAAACATCTGTATCTTTTGGGCTTTCAGAACAAATACAAACCTCACAAACTCAGGTCACTTCTTTTTAACTGAGTGCCCAAATTAAGATCACCCTTTAGATTCACGGATTAGCAAAGGTCTCAAGGTAGTAATCCAGTCTCTTCACTTGTAACATCAAAGAAAGCCAAGATCCCCCAGTTGGTGTGCTGGATCTGCCCCTCTGCATGTCACTGCTCACTCAGGACTGAGGCTGAGCTTCTTGGAATAGCATACAAAGCCCTTCTTGGTGGGAGTCCTGCCAGTATTGTTAATGTGTTCACCCCCTACTGCCTGCCCCGGCCCTGCATGTCAGCCACACAGTGTAACCTGCAAATGCCCAAGTTGGTCATGCCTTTGCCCCCCAAGTTCATCATGCCTCTGCCCCCCAGTTCATCATGCCTCTGCCCCCTGAGTTTGTCATACCTTTGCCCCCTGAGTTCATCATGCCTTTGCCCCCCAAGTTCATCATGCCTCTGCCCCCAAGTTCACACCTTTGCCCCCGAATTCATCATGCCTCTGTCCCCCAAGTTCATCATGCTTCTGCCCCCTGAGTTCATCATGCCTCTGCCCCCCAAGTTCATCATGCCTTTGCCCTCTGAGTTCATCATGCCTTTGCCCCTGAGTTCATCATGCCTTTGCCCCTCGCACTTCTCTTCCCACATCTCATGCCCTTTCTATGTGCTGATGGACCACTTAGACAGGCATCAGTTGAAAGGCACTGGGAGGCCTCTGCGTGCCATGATCTCAACTGGCCTGTGCTGGCTCCCTGCCCCACATGGACAGAGGGAGAGGCTGGAGTAGGGACCTACAGTGAGGGAGGATGGGCACAGAGGCTGTTCTAGCAGCTCAGTCACCCCTAGAGTCAGGCCTGTTGCAGCATCTGCCCTCTGCTCTTTTGGCTGCTATTGAAATAAACACCATTATTCCAAGCAACTCTCTGTCTCTATGATTGTTAAATTAATGCAGCTATTTTACTGACTTTGTACTTCTGGATTAGGTACTATTGAATTGTTGTGTAGTTGTCTATAAGTTTTTTTTCTTGTATTTTAGTACAAAATCTATAGGTTCTTACTACATAGATTGGACTTGTAGTGATCCACCTGTGTTCAGCCTCCCAAGAGCTTGGATTACAGGCATGCATCACCACACCTAGTCTCAATTGCTGTCTCAGCATGCCTCGAGGGTGGTATAAGCTTTTTAAAAGATGGAGTTGAAAACAACTGAGAATAAGTGACATTAATGTTGATAAACATGAAGAATTAAATAAGAGTGTTAAACCACTCATAATACACATAACTGTAGCCTCAGCTACTGAGGACAGTAAAGCAGGTGGTTACTTGGGCCCTGGAGTACAAGGGTAGCCTGGGCCACATAACAAGACAGAGGGGGTAGGGAAAGGAGGAAGAGGAGGAGAAGGTAGGAAAGGAGAGAGGGAGAGGAAAGAAAGCAGAGGGGAGTGGGGAAAGAGAGGAAGAGAGGACGAGGAGGAGAAGAAGGAGGAGCAGGAGGAGGAGGAGAGGGCATGAGAGGAGAAGGAAAAAGAGGGGAGAGAGAGGGATAATAGCTGAGTGTGGCAATGAATGCCTCTAATCCCAGCACTCTGGGAAGTTGAAGCAGGAGGATTACCAGTGCATTCCCTCCCAGGGCAGTGCAGGAATTTAGTGAGACCCTGTCTCGAAATAAAATATAAAAAGGGCTAGGGATGAAGCAATACAACTCAGTGAAGACCTCAGGGTAAATCATCAGTGTGGAGAGAGAGAGAGAGAGAGAGAGAGAGAGAGAGAGAGAGAGAGAGAGAGAGAGATTTCCTTGACCTCCAGCCTAGAGCCCCATTGCTCCTTTCTGAGTGCTCAGCTGTACAGCCTCCACTGCCTACTGTGAGTCTCACAAATTTGATCTCCTTTGGATCAGCCAAGGCTTTTTAGGAAGAAGAATATTCCCTCCAGAGTTCAGAAGAGCAAAAGATGGTCCTGAGACATCATGTGGTCCTTATCAGGACCTGCAGTCCCCCCATAGGAGAGAAACATGGAAAAGGCCTGAGAGGAAGAGGGGAGAGAAAAGAAAGGGCCCCGAGGTGGTGCCCTCGTGAGCCTCCCCTTCTGCATTCCCATTTCCTCCCAGAATGTTGTCAAGTTCTGGTCTCTTCCAGGGATTCTTCTCTGGGTGGAGTTAGGGCCCTCCTGATCCAGACACCTCCTGAAAACCTCACCTCTGAACACAGGACAATTTAGAGGGAAGTTTTAGACCTAAACCATAGTACATGTAAAAAGATTCTCAATGTCCTTAGTAACAGGGCAATGTGGATCAACACCACTCTGAGATGCTAAATTGGAATACTCATATATGGTTGGTAAGAATGCAAATGTAGCCACCTTGGAAAACAGTTTAACTGCTCCCCACAAAAGTTGAAAATACTGTATGACCCAGCATTTCATACTTAGGTATAGATAGATGAATAGCAGTATTATTCATAATAGCCAAAAGATAGGAATAACACAAATATTTATTATCAGTCAATAAATAGATTGAAATGTGGAATATTCATACAGTGGAATATTATTCACCCATTTTTAAAAAGTACACGATAAGAGATGAACATAGTGGCATGTGTGTGTAATTCTAGAATTTGGGAGGCTAAGGCAGGAGGATCAAGAGTTAGAGGACCTGGACTACACAGTGAAAACCTATCTCAAAAAAAATATTAAAATATTTTTAATTGTTAAAGTAGGTAACATGAACAAATCTTGAAAACGTGCTAAGTGAAAGAAGCCAGATTTAGAAGACTACATATATGTCCTTCCACTTACATAAGATATTTAGAGAAGGCAAATCCACTGATGGACATTATTAGTTGCCAAGGCCTGGGCAC